GTCTCTAACGTTAGAGAAATTTGGATTTCTACATAAGATAACTAGAGTAATTCTCTAATCGTTCACGAGTCGATGACAATGTTAGAGAACTACATTAGAATTCGATTCGAGAATGATTAGAGAAACAACGCAATTTCCTTATCGGTTATCTTTGGAACCGTAAACAGTCCGATTTTTTCTTTTTTTTTTCAAATATTGTACGTATTGGTGATTATGGGTATTCAGTATATCTGTCAGTTGCTTCTGACACTAATTCTTATAATGTCCAAGCATTTTGTGTTTAATATTTTGGTCCTTCTGTCGAAAGATTTTCCACGAATTGTAAAACAGTTTTCAATACTAAATCAAGGAAAAGTACCAAAAACATAAGTTTTCATTTGTTTATTTCGGCTGATAAAGTTCAGAACGGTAGAAAATAAATTAGTTTAACAGAATACGTTCCAAGTTACTAAAAAAGTTGTTTAGAATTCCTATTAAGTCGTAATGAAATGTGCCGCAAATGCTAAGTGTAACGTAGCCAGTGAAAAACTAAAAAAGTTGTTTTTCGGATACTTAAGAATCCTTTACAAAGGGATATTTAACATGTTCTCTTAGTATTGTCGATATCCTACGTATGCCAAATGGAAAAAAAAGAAATGGTAGCTGACTTCATTGCACAACTACCTAATAAATAAGTGTAATGAGGCCAGTGTTTTTCTTTTTATTAAGTTTTTTATTGACTTGATAACTATTCTCATTCTCATTTTAGCAATAAATAAATAAGACATATTTAAGAAAATGGTTGGGTGGACAATTTCGAATTGATTATTATACTACTAAATTTCGATAGCTATTATATTTAAATAAAGCGAAGCTAACATTTGTAAAATATTCTTTGAAATCTTTATCTCTAAAGATTTTGATTATATATGTAATTGCCTGGAATTGAATGAAATTTTTTGCAACGTGTAAAACTGATACAGTATCTGCTCCTTTCACGTGATTGTATTCCTATCACTACAATTTTATAGAATATGATACAAGTTTACACCAAACTATGAAGAGTTTATTTTGTTAAAATCGTCTATGCGAGAATTCTTCTATAGAACTGCGATAAATGCATTAAGATTTTGGTATTTAAGATTAACGAAGATGTAGAAACCACCGTATCAGTTTTGAAATTGTCTTGGATGGTATTAAAAAGAAAACACAGACCATAATTTTTAAGGATAATCGAGTTATATTTTTTTTCCTTTTTGGTTGTTGTTGTTTCCGACAGGGTGGGTGTATGATGTATTATGAAACGAATTTCCGTCATCCCTTGTCAAATTTGGTTTGGAGACAAACCGGTTTCGGCGTTGTGCCATCTTCAGTGTCATAAATACGAGCAACCAACAAAAATTATGCAGAACGAAAAATGACACTGAAGATGGCACAACGCCGAAACCGGTTTGTCTCCAAACCAAATTTGACAAGGGATGACGGAAATTCGTTCCATAATACATTATATTTTTTTATCCTTCTATAGATTCCCAATTTTAGCTCAATTTTAGCTTGTTTATGACGACATAATAGGAACGCGAAGAAAAAATGAAAAGGCAAAGCCTTTTGGTTAAACCTTGTAGAAGCGAATCGTACGTGTAACGTGACCAGTGTTTTGTGTAACGTTACCAGTGCCCAAATTATATGACCAAAAACTATTAATTTTACATAGACATAGATTTGACCATGCCTAATCATACCACCTAAAAAGCCCAGTTGGGTTTGAGCTATTTAATAGAAAATTGATTCATATTGTAGAAAAAATGCGTACGAATATTACGCTGCCACACCTTCTGATAGATGGCGCAGGGATCAAGAGCTGTCCTAAAAAATCTTACTTGTGGTCAGATATGCTTCCTGTCAGTGGCGGACACAGGATTTTATTTGGGGAGGGGCGATTGGGATCGACTTGTCGAATAACGTTAAATTACAGGCATCTAACTTGATTCACAGCGGAGTGACTGAGAGACTAATCGAAGCTATATGACCTACAAGCATTAAACCTTTTTGAACACTTATTTTTTCACGCATATAGAGGTTCTAGTAATTTTTATGAAGTCGGAATTAAAAATGCTTTGGATATAATTTTACTTTAAGTAAGTTTCATGTTGTGAATTTGGCGCAAGGTCCATTTACAGAGTCCCATGTAATAAAACAATTATACTATTTGTAAAAAAGCACAAGATTAAAAGTTATTATCTGGGTTTATTAAAGCAGTATATATTTGTGTATATTACATAAATACTTATTTTTTTCTTATAATGTTTGTCAAATGAGGGATGCAATTAAGTAACTAAACAACTTATTCGGAATTTTGATTATAATAACTTAAATTGCAAACTTAGTTTTGCGCTTTCCTTTTAGGAATCTTTGTATTATCCGATCAGTGTCAATTTCAATATTTAAGGGCCAGTTTCAGTGGCAGTTTAAACTTAGATTACGTAAACTGAATTTAAAAGGACTGACATTTGATTGGCTAATCTTAGTTTAAAGCAGCCAGCTCGGGCGTTTAAACTAAGTTTAAAACCGTACACTAAAAAACTGGCCCTAAGTGTACGTGTAAAAGTGCTAGACCTATCAGTCTTTTTTCATTCATGGTACTATGGAACCATGTTTTTAACCGGCGAAGGGTAACTTATTTCTGAAGTAGCGTTACTAGCTAGAAGTGTAGTCAGATTGCGGAGAAGTTTGTTAATCAACGGAAATCATATTCGTCGTCCCATTTACCAAGAACTTCTGCTGTTGATTTTAGGTATGGCTTTTCGCTTACCTCATTTGTTCATCGCTCAGACCACACTTTATACTCTCCTTCCAAACTGATAGCGTCTATTTGTAGCGTATTATATTCCCTAATTTTATATGTATGGAAGTAATAGTTCAACTCAAAAATGTTTATGTAATGTATATTTCGGCAATCTTTCTCGGAGATAGGAAGGACCTACAGTTTTACACCGACTCCGAACGGCGATTTTATTTTTATGAGAGTACACCCGGAGATTTGCCTTTCTTGTATATCTTTTTGCGATGTTGCTTTGAAATTATCGGTAATAAAAACCGCGAAGTCTGTTTTGCCTTTTCACGTTGGATAAGAAAGCAAATCGAGTGGGTCTGGCGATAAACGAGGACCAGACGAAGTATCTCCTGTCATCAAACAAACAGTCAGCACACTCGCGGCTTGGCACGCACGTCCCTGTTGACAGTTATAATTTCGAAAAAGTACAGTATTTCGTTTACTTGAGAGCCAGCATTAACGTCAATAATAATGCCAGCATTGAAATCCAACGCAGAATACTCTTACCAACAAGTGCTACTTTGGACTGAGTAGGCAATTCAGAAGTAAATTCCTCTCTCGACATTTGAAAACCACACCCTCTAAGTCACTCATCATGGCAGTGCTGGTGAATGGCGCAAAATCATGGACAATAGCAACATTCGATGAGGCGACTCATTGAGTGTTCGGGAGAAAGATTTTCGCAGACGATGGAATGATGAGCTGTATGTAAAGAAACGGACATAGTTCAGCGAATTAAAATATAGCTTGGTCCAGTCGTGCGAATGAACACTGACGATCCAGATTTGAACGCGTTTAACCCGAAACCCGCTGGTGGTAGCAGAGGAAGTGCGAAACCCCCACTGCGATGGGAAGACCAAGTGGAGAAGGATTTGATTTCACTTGGCATTTCCAATTGGCGTCAGTTGGCACAGAAGAGAAACAACTGGCGTGCTTTGTTGAGCTCGGCCAAAATCGCTTAGGCGGTTACAGCGCCAAGTAAGAAGAAAAATGTGATCACTCCTTTCGTATGCTGGCAGACTTTAAAACCGTCATCCGCATAAAGGACACCATATTGGTGGCAAGTAAAATAAAAAAGCGTATGAAAAAATTTTTCGAATTTCGACAACTGAGCGATACTAGTATAAGTATGGAATTTTTTTTGCTTTATAAGTTAATATATAAGTGGTTTTCGTACGAATCGACAATTTCAAATTTTTGTATAGGAAATGATAAGAAAATTTCAAGATTTTCGATTCGTACGAAAACAAGAATACGCCCCATTATGTTTTCAAATCGAAGGTTTTTGTCGTGTCTTCCTTCGAATAGAACCTTATTGTTTAAATGTAAGTACAAAATCCTTTGTCGATACTGAGTAATAATGCTTACCAATTAAGGAAATTTATATTTTTTTAAATTAAACTATGACATATGTTGCTATATTTTATGTATAACTAGCAGACCCGGCGAACTTCGTCCCACCCAAATTTAATTTTTGGTATTGAAACATTTTGGTCCAACATTTTCACAACCGTTTACGTTCATGATTTCAGTGACGCATTTATCTTCTAATATTACGGTTTGGTCGTTGTCAGAAGGCATATTTCCATTGCCGTTTAAATAACCTAGCAAAAGTGTATATGCATTCAAAGATACGTAACAGTTTCATTGCGTTTAAAAGGCACCCCGCCACCTTTTCAAATAGCTTGAATTTTCTCTTAGAGTATGGGATTGATTTCATGAACACTGCATATATCTGTGCAGTATCAAAAGTTCGATTTGTATGGGAGGAGCCACGACCCCTTTTCCGAGTTCTCTTCCACGAACATTTTCCGGGATATGCAGTATGGAAAATTCGGTTTGTATGGAAGGTGCCACGCCCCTTTTTCCAATAACCACAATTTTTCTCCATGAGTATGCAACTGTTTTCATATATCTCCATACCATGTTCTAGTACTTTACCACGAACACTTCCAGAGATATGCAATATGAAAAATTCGTTTTGTATGGGGGGCGTGGCACGCCCCCTGTGCCTAGCGGAATGAAATATACTTTACATCCGATTCTCATACCTATCATATATACACAAAAAATTGCATAGAGATCGGTCGATCCGTTTAAGAGGAGTTCGGCCACAAACACCGTGACACGGGATTTCTATATATTAGACTTAGTTTATAAAAATACAAATTTCTTAGTCTTAACGTACCTTTCGTTTCATGTAGAGCAATTCGTTTTGTGCCTTTAGCGCTTCCTTAATCTCGACCTCCTTTAGCTCATCCAGAATCTTCTGGTATTTTTCTCGATTTTCGACGTCTAACGCAACATGCAGATAGTCATGCCAATTACGTGAATCGAATCCCCAATGACATGTACGGTTTTCAACTTCCCGATGTACATGTCCGACAAATTTTTGCGGCGAGAACCAGCCTTTACACTCCAAGCACATTATGCAAGTAGGTTTAGTGTATGAGTACAAATCGGGTGTACAAATACCATCACACTTTCCAAAACAGCGGTGGTAAACTTTGAACGAAATGGCACCTTTTGGGATATCGTCATCATTGATGTAACTATTTCGATCGACACGATTTAAAAGAGCAGCACACAAACGCTCCGCATCAGTGCGTGTTATCAAACCAGATGCCTTAACATCAGGTGGCAAAATCTTCGCGGCTTTAAATTCCAACAACTGATCAGGTGTACACTGTGAACAATAGATACCGAGCTCATCGAATATGCGGTTTATTTGATCAAGTGTAAAATCGGCGAGCACATTATTAAGAAACTGTGGCAGGCACAAACGCATCTCCCCGCCCAGCGAGAAGCAGCCAATTGTTTTACCCTCCAGACGCGTTTCGTATAATACACCAGAACCCGAATCTGGTGCGGTAAATATAGGTTGTGACAATTCCGGTGGTGGAGGCGGTATGATCTTGACCGTGGTTAGGGGAGGTTGAGGTGGAACTGTTTGGGTTGGGGATTGTGTGGTTTGTGACGACATCGACAACGGAAGCGGCAGCGTTTGTGGTGGCAATGTGTCACCCAGCTCATGCGGCTCGGGCGAACTGAGCACCTCCTTTTTAATGAGTGGTACAGCGGGTGGCAATGCTGTGCCCGAATTTGGTGACTTGGAGCAGGTTGGTGATGACGACGCTATTAACGGACAGTGTGGTTTGTTACTTGCTAGGCCGTTAGGTGGTAGAATCCCGGCCGAGTGGTGACCAGCGCAAAGATTGCGAGCACCCGCAATGTTAAGGTCGGTGCTGCTGCCGCCGCTGCCACTTACACCAGTTAAAGTGGCGTCAAGCGGACAGTTGGAGCCGGTTGGGCAGCCGGCGGCGGTCAGCGCATGGCCAGGTCCTTGCAAGCTTTTTGGTGCACTTGTCTGATATTTCTTCAGCACTGTGTGTATATTTGGCGTAACGTATTCAGTCATTTTTTCTTTAAACGTTTATCGGCCACTGCCTTCTACCGAAGGTGGTGGAGTGGGTAGGGCGGCAGTCCTTAGCTCGCTAACCAAAATTAGTAAAAATCAATGGCGAATACAGTTGAAGCAGCGGCGAGGCAGGTGAGATCAAATGGAATTGAATGTTGCATATGCGAACGCGCCCTGGTTTCAGCTTCATTCGAAGTAAGATGCAACACCAGCGGAACCAAGTAATAACACCGCAATAACTTACATATGTATAATGCTTTAATAGAATGCTTTTAGCGGAAGCTAGTTTAATTGCACCTTATATTTTCTTACACATTTACACTTTTCACACTTGTATAATTTGTGTTGATCTATTATTTTCTTCACAATTTGGCACGTTATCCATTCCATTCACACACAATATTTGATTTTTTTATTCGTTTTATTTTAATATTTTCGAGCGCTTAGAGTGCTCTTAGAGTGCTCTTATGTTAGATTTTTCAATTTGAAAATTTTAATTTGCACTTCTATTTGGTCGCAGCTTCAATTATTTTCGCGCACAATTCCGACGGCATTTTTGTACTCGCGTGACACATACAACGCCAAGATCTCTCCATTTCCGCTCTTCCGCCTGCTGGCCATTCGTTTTACTCGTTTCGTTTTATTTGCTTTGCGCACTTCGCGCACAGCCCGGTTTTGGCAGCGACGGAATTTCAAAAGCAGCACCGACTACAAATAAAAACAAAGAATTAAAAAGCTGTGCAGTTATTTTTAAACTCACAGGCACAGCAAAAATTAGAAAAATTTCATTAATTCTCATGTTTTATTTTGATTTTTCATTTTGCTTTGAGCTACTTTTCACATAATTTAGCCTATCAATTCGAATATAGATAATACGAGTTAACTAGAAGTTGCACATACATACATACATATGTATATAAATATTGATCACTTTTTATTGATGATTCTTCTCTTCCACTAATCAAAACTCTCAAATGCGTACAATTTTCGACAAACTTTTTAAGAAAATAAATCATTGCATTGCATTTTCGCAAACACTGCAAATTCACATCACTGCTAAATTCACTGTTCGCTTGGCCGATACTTCCGTGGGGCTTGCAGGCGCATCTCCAAATGTGTGAGTATGGATGTATGCGTAAATTGTATCTATGCGTATATATATTTGAATGTACATATGTATGTACTTATATGAATCCGTGTATTTCAAGATAATATGCGCATGTAGAACAGCGCGCCAAACTGACGACCTCGCGACTGACCGTTCGACTGATGACCAAAATGCGGCGCTCTGAGGCCGAAATGTCAAAAATCCAACTGGATTCTGCTGCGGTTCTTCTTCTTCCGATTACTATATCGCTTCGTGCCGAGAAAAAATGGTTCTCGCACCCGACATGAGCTGCACTGTAAGTTGTTGTTATTGTTTTAGATAGTAAGCCGTCATCTGTTGGTATTAATACACTACTACTAATACAGAAACGTTAAAACGAGAGAGCGCGCCAACATGGGCACGACGTCGAGTGGCCCCAAAGAGCGCAGCTGCAAATACTGCGACTGCGACTGCGATGCTGTGAGACCACCACGTAATTTAGACGTTGGTGTGGTTGTGACAAGTAGCGTTGGCCGTTGCCGTAGTGCTGACTGGCGCGTGTTTTGCTCTCCCAGTTCGATTTTCATTCGCTTCGGTTCTTCTTCTTCCGCTTCAGTTTTTGCTTTGTATAGTTGTTGGTATAGTAGTTGCCTTTTTTATATTTGCTGATTAGAAAATACACTAAAAAGTGTATTGGAGACGCAGAGGCAGACTTTTGTCTCGTCTGTGTGTCGTCGCGACTCCCTAGTATCGACACCGCATTCAGCTCAGATATGAAGGGTGCGGCGCCAAAGGGGCAAGGCAGCGACGGCACGACAACTACTTACAACTGAGACGGCCCAGTCGCTATCTGAAATCCTCACCTCCCCTTGACTTGCGACGCCTGCTAACAGGGTTAAGTTCCAAAAACTTTTGTTGTAATTGTTTTTGTTTTCTGCTTTTATTTACTTATTGTCGCAGTTGTTTTTATTTCCGTCAGTCTATACGTCTGCCAGTCGTATAGAATCTTGCCAAGTTTTGGTTTGTCGTCTACTTTACTTGATTCATCCACTTTTTCGCAAAAACTTGCGTATATTAGTTTCTTAAGCACTTTTTTCGTCACTTTTGTCACAGTATTTATGTACGTATGTAGTGGTATTTATCTACTTGCGTATGCATATTTTCTATAGCACTGCACTTTCCACGATTCGCCGACCATATTATTTTTCATCATCTTCCACTATTTTATTGCACTTGGCATTTTCGCAAACTATCTTTTGATAAATTGATACGAAAAATCGCTTTTCTATTTCATATTTTAAACTCTTTTTTACATCTTAATCATGTGCCACTATATGCACTCGTAATCACTTTAATTAAATTCACTTTGCTAATGTCGCTTTATCATTATTTGGGTGTTCGCGTTTATGAAATATTCGTTGGTCTTTTAAGTATTTTTGCGAAATACGCCGCGCACACCACCTTCTTTCACGAAAGCAGCAGAACAACAGCGTGACAGCGTTATCGGTGACAGCAACGGTAGCGGCAACGTCAAACGGCAAATGCACCAACGACTACAACCAACATCGCTAAGTATCTCGCAGATATGTATTGGCAAAGTTCATACAAGTTCTCTACATTGGGTGCCGCCGCCATCATACTCAAACTAGTTGCTGCATGAAATCGGTTCGAACACAACCAGAGAATTTATATGAGATTTTCATTCACATTTTTTTATAAAACGACAATGCCCCACAAGTACTATATATGTACATATGTATGTGCATTAGGGTGGTCCAAAATAAGTAAAGTCGGGGGGGAGAAGTATACCCCTTATTTTATTTTGAATTCAAAAAATTATTTAGTGTTCGCTTAAAGAGCTCAAGGTTTTCCATGTATTTTATATGAGAAAAAAAAACTAATTTTCGTAGAAATGGTATAGAATTCTTGAAAATCATTACTTTTCGATCGGGAAACTCCCAATTTTTTATTTAACTATTTTTTAATACTAACGATTTTTTACTGGTCCCCGCATTGTATTTTCCGGGGTTTTAGGCAACCCTATAAAATATAGTTATCATGAAAAAATTATTAAATAAAGAATTGGATATTATTGTTGTGAATCTCATCAAGGGAAACAGAGTTTTCCGATCGAAAAATATTGATTTTTGATGAGGATGTGCCGGCTCTCTAGCCGTTTTTCTCCTTTCCGATGTGAATCTCATCAAGGGAAACAGAGTTTTCCGATCGAAAAATATTGATTTTTGATGAGGATGTGCCGGCTCTCTAGCCGTTTTTCTCCTTTCCGATGTGAATCTCATCAAGGGAAACAGAGTTTTCCGATCGAAAAATATTGATTTTTGATGAGGATGTGCCGGCTCTCTAGCCGTTTTTCTCCTTTCCGATGTGAATCTCATCAAGGGAAACAGAGTTTTCCGATCGAAAAATATTGATTTTTGATGGGGATGTGCCGGCTCTCTAGCCGTTTTTCTGCTTTCCGAATATCCGGCCCAATACTGCCTGAAATCCGACCGGATTTCGATTGCAGAAGATTAAATTTAAAAATCTAGTTATTTTTTTTTTTTTGTATTTTTATAATCAAATTACATAAATAGTATCAAATTTGTTATTTAAGTTAAAATATTTTACATTTTTGATTATAAAAAGAATCATTTCCGAATTATCGGCAACAACCTATTTTTATTTTCAACATAAATGCTACCCGATGTACTCTTTCTTAGTTCACTGAGTACTGAGTTACATATAGGATAGTTCACCTCGAAAGAGTAGATAATCTGGTCATAAGTATGTCACTAAACAAACAAAAAACAGCAGCCCACCGGATATCCGATCGGATATCCGAATCCGGCTCCTATTTTTTACATGGTATCCGGAATCCGGTTAGCCTGCAAAATCTCTATCCGGCACAACCGTAATTTTTAAGAATTCTATACCATTTATACGAAAAGTTGCTTCTCCCCAATTTAAAATATGTACTTGGAAAACTTTGAGCGCTTTCAGCGACCTCTAAATATTTTTTGATTTCAAAATAAAAAAATATTGGTATATTTTTTTGGTAAAAAAACAATCCTAGGGGATGAGATCACAAAAATTTCGACTTTACTTTTCACATGCCTTTTTGGACCACCCTAATGTACATAAATTACAAATTATTTTCCAAATAATGTTAAGGGCTTATTTATAAAAAACATTAATTTTTGGCAAAGTGCTTATATTTTGCAGTATTATATTTGCATCGTCATAAAAAAGAATAAGTTGAAAAACAAGTAAGAAAGTCTAAGTTCGGGCGGATCCGATGATTAAATACCCGGCGCAAGTATTCGATATATATTTTTCAACTTTCCGAAAACTACCGCTACCTGGGCCCAATTGCACCCATGACTTATCACTTATCACTTTACTACTTTTGGATAAGCCTTTTTATTGAAAAGTAAAATTGATAAGTGTTGCACTTTTTACTTATCATAAAAAACTTATCAAATTATCAAAAAATGAATACTGACAAGTTTTTTTGATAAGTCGATTTGATAACCATTGCACAGCCAATTTCTTTTGCTTTTCAAATAGAGAACTTTTCCAATAATGTGCTTAGCTAAAATGATTACCGTTTCTCAATGGAAAACGAAAGCTTAGCAAACGCATGTGCGATTTGATAAAGATTTTGAATTTATCATTTTTTTACTATGTCGCGCGCACAAAGCAAAGCCAATAAATTGGCTGCCTTAAAAATTATTAAGGAAAAAAGTAATTCCGTCTTGACTATCATATGTATGTAAATAACTATACTTTTCTACATTTAAGGATTATTTATTTGGATCTTTCCAAAATAATTCAGTAACAAAAACACATAAACCACATTGCATTCATTGAATGACTTATGTACCGGTTAACAAATTGGTACTCAGTAGCCTTAGGGGCGTTTATATTTATCATAGTTCCATCAATGCACCCTGTGACTTAAGAAAATCCAATATTTTTCGTAAATTCCGGCCAACAAATAGTTTCATCCATCAATTTGTTAATCACGGCATTTGCCACTCGATGGATTACTGTACATACCGCTAATATGTGAACCCCATGCATTTGACGAATTCCATGATATTGGCTACCTAATTAGTGCACAGTCGATAGTAATTGCCGTAGCGGACTTAAGCCATTATTACGCTCACTGTTATATTGTAGGTCCGCTCCAATTTTAAATAAAATTTATTCAATTTGGCTACAAGATGACCGAAATTTGTCTACTAAATACATCAATATCTAAACTGTAGCTGATTTTTTATTTCATGACACGCCTTTTATTATTTTATAAATTTCATAGTTCGAATCGAAGCATTTTTTGTGTCAATATTTTATCGAATCACGTGTTAGAGCTTAATTTTTAGATTGTTAAGGTATAATTGTATTATCCTTTTACAATAAATAAGTAAATTAATTCATTCAGACTGAATAAATGTAACTTATCGCTTGTATGATAGGTAAAATTACTTTTAGCAAAATAATGCTAAAGTTAGCAAAATGAAGGATGATAAGTGATAAATAAAAATTTTTGGTGCAACGAAATGCTAATAAATTTTGATCATTTGCATAACTTATCACTTATCCGCTAAACCCTTTTCGCTTAGCATTTCAAATTTTGGTGCAACGTTTATCTATGTCTGTGAGTGATATTTTACTTATCAATACTCATTTGAGTGACTTTTTCTTATCATGTTGGTGAAACACAAAACTTTGCGCAAGTTCGTTAATTTGCTAAAATGCCCTGTTTTACCCCTATTTTAAACATCTTCGATAGAACGGTCCGTTAGACATAACTTATATAGTCATATGTGGGCGGTATCACGTCTATTTTCCAAAATTCCATATTAATGTTACTTATTTTTAATGGGATGTTGTTAGTATCAATTTTGAGTAAATTAGCGTCCTTAAATTTCGAAATATCGAAGTTTCAAGAATTTCTGACATTACTGTTATACGATAAGTGGCCGTAATTTTAGTCCGTTAGTAGTTTCAATAATTTTCAACGTTTTGGTTTTATGTGGCAAGCACAATAACTATACCAAGTTTAGTACAAATTGGTTCAACGATTACCGAGATACATATATGTGATCATAAGTGAGCGGTACCACGCCCATTTTCCAAAATTTTATCATAAACGTATTCCCTGGAAAAAGTTATTGCAAGTATCAATTTTGAATAAATTACACTGGTTTACAAAAAAAAAAGCTTATGCATATTAAACCAGACCTATATATCCCTAAGTTATTCGACACGCTGAATACGAATCCGAAGTCCGTTAGTCTCCACCACGTCAGGTTCGTGGTCTGTTGAAGGTCAAGTAGGGAAAAATTCATTGAATAAACCTGAAAATTCATATACATAAGGTTTTACATTCGCTGAACCCGAATCCGAGGTCCGCTAACCTCCATAATGTCAGCTTCGAGGTCATTTGAAGGTCAAATAGGACATAAAATGTATTCAATAAAAATTAATAAAAAAAAATTGTTTTTGTTGTCACTGAAACCAAGTATGATTACCCTTCCCTTGATTCCTCAAGGTCATCCCAAGGTCAAATTCCGATGAATTTTATTGAATTTTCAGGTATATTCAATGAATTTTTCCCTACTTGACCTTCAAATGACCACGAACCTGACGTGATGGACGCTAACGGACCTGGGATTCGCATTCAGCATGTCGAATAACATAGGGATATATAGGTTTGGTTTAATATGCATACACTTTTTTTTTTGTAAACCTGTGTTATCTTAAGTATTTACGGATTTGTCGAAGATTTCGTATTTCTCTAAATCGGAAGCCGATTATGAAATTTCGAATGCGCCTAATTTCGATCCCTGAGAGCTCAGTGTTTGCTCAGGAGTGCGAACCAAAATGCTTCCATCTTAGCCTCGCGAAGGTTGGACAGTCTAAAAGAAAGTGTGGATATGATTCTACTTCATCTTCCTCTTGACAGTTGATACAAAAGGATCAGTTGAAATTCCTAGTCTCACCCCATAAATACCAATAGCACAATGGCCTGTCAGAACCCCCATCACTAGCCCTTGAGATGCAACGTGTTTTAAAGTGCCCTATAAAAACATTTGCTGCAGCAGAGAAAGGTCTTCTTTTTCTTTTTTAAGTCACAAAATCGTGCTGCGACTATTCTGTCTGCTATATCCGCAGGCACCGCGCTCAACATACATATGTATGTTAAGCGCCAGTGTAGGTGTGATTCTTAATGCTCCGCTAATTCCTGCTTTACAAGTGTAGCCTTCTCTAGTGAGTGTCACCAGCCAAGGGCTCCTTAAAACAATATAGGCTTATATATGGTTTTCTAGAGCTAATGAATTAATTTGGGCGAGAGAACCCACCTTTTACCGATAGCTCCCCTACAGCAGTACAAGGCAACCGACACCTTTCCTACCCTTTCCTCAATCAAAGGCTTCTACGACAGCCGCCGTTGATCGCCCACCTAGTTACCTGGTTCAGGTAACCTTAAGCCAGATCAAAAAGGGT